CCAGCATATAGAATGGAAAGAGCCCTGAACAGGGTCTCAGAAAGCAAGGTTCTGCTGCCACCTCTGCCAGAGGCTGTTTCCTTTTTGTCTCCAGGACCCATAGCACTCTAAAATTGCAGTTGAGCCAGGTTTGGTTGTACACACCTGTAGTCTCAGTGACTCAGGGGGCTGAGGCAAGAGAATTGCAAGTTTGAAGCCAGCCTTAGCAACTTTAACAGGACCCTGTCTCAAAAAATAAGGACTAGTAGCTCCCTGGCAAGGCACTCCTGGGTTCAATCCCTGGCACAGGGTGGGTACAGAGGTGGAGTGGAGTAAAAGTTGAAGATGAGTAAGATGACCTAAGAGCACAACTCCAAGTCTGGTTCTGATCCAATGCTGGGTCCACAGCCTGCCATCTGAGCCCAGACCAGGAGGACAGGTAGCTTGTGTGGTTAGCTGCCTGTTAGAATGGGGCTAGCTATTGGTGAGAACCCAGTGAGGAGCTTCCTCACCTAGGAGAGAGAAAAAGCTACAGAGAATCTGGTCCTTTGCCCTGGCCATGGGTTTCAGTCAACTAAACAGGTGTGTGGGTGGTGAGAACACCACTTCTGCCCCTGGCAAGAGGGAGGGAGGGATCAGTACTGGCACTACTCTTGCCAGCTTCTCTAAGGGAGATTTGGAGAAAGAGGGAGGGGGCCTTCCAGCTAAGGGGAACCTCCAGACAGAGCCCCTCTTGTGCGCCTGACCACCTGAACAGACCTGCAGGACTTCTCTGGCCTCCTTGTGCTTCCATGCCTGTATCCTAGAAGTCCCCTGCTCTGTGTGTTCCGGTGCTGTTGGTCAGTGGAGTTGCTCACAGCAGGTTTTTGTGTGTCTACTTTGTGTGCCCCTCCTCTCCAGCTCTGTCCCAAATGGGCTACAACCTGAGCCCCCAGTTCACCCAGCTCCTGGTCTCCCGCTACTGCCCACGCTCTGGCAGTCCCGCCATGCAGCTCGACCGCTTCATTCAGGTGTGCACCCAGCTGCAGGTGCTGACTGAGGCCTTCCGAGAGAAGGACACCGCGGTGCAGGGCAACATTCGGCTCAGCTTCGAGGACTTTGTCACCATGACAGCTTCTCGGATGCTATGACCCAGCCTATCTGTAGACAGTGGAGCACACCAAGGACCTTTCCTGGCTCCTTAGAGTGGGAGAAGTATGTGGGCCTCTCTTCTTTCCCCTCCTAAAAAAATTCTCCCTAGCTTGATGCAGCACTGTTCCCAAAGAGGGTTGAGGATTCTGCATCAGAGCCACCAAATAATGGATCCCTGGACTGTGGCCATACAGGTAGGAAGGAGCCTGACCTAGGAGAGGACTGGAAATTGAGTGTCCTGACAGGCCTGAGCAATCGGCTGTGCCTCTGGCCCTTAGCTTCCCCCTCTGTGCTCTGACACCAGTGATAGGTGTTCTTCAGCCTCTTACTGTTAGCATCTGCCTTCCCTCAGCGACTGTCCTGTCAGATGAGCCCAGCTTCTCCAAAATGGAATTTGACCAAGCTTGAGAGAGGTTTGCCTGTGGGACCAGTGGCTTGGGTTCCTGCTCATTCACATCCACAAGTCCTTGTGTGTGAACTTCTAACTGGGGGCTGTCCCTGCTCAGGGAGCTGGGACAGTCTGCTCTCTGGGTATCTCAGCCAGGCTACTGCCCTCCAAAGCTTGGACCCTTCAATTGCCTGCCATGCTCTGCTCTGCTTTATTTCCTGGAGGACAGATGTCACCTCCCACTGCCAATGCTGTTTTTTTTGTTTGTTTGTTTGTTTGTTTTTTTAATGTGTGAGTTATCATATGGGGCCAAAAGTCCAGTGAAACTGTAAGCTTCAATAAAAGAATGAAATTCTGTAGTCCCATGCTTTCCTCCATGACTTCGCAGCCACCAGTTCCTACTCATCTACCCACTTATTTATTCTTTCATTCAGCAGATATTTAAGTCCATACTGTCTACCTAGCCATGCAGAAAGAAGCAGCCTGGGGGCTGAGACTCTCAGGACTCCCCTCACTTGTCAGGGTGAACCTGAGGTGTTGGGTGGCTCCTGGGTCCTGCCAGGTGTACTTCCATACAGCTGGGGGTCAGCCCGAGAGTCTATTTCATGGAAGTTGTAAGGCTGGCCTTTGGGGCTGGAAGCAGCCACCCCAAACTTTGCACAGCATGGCCTTTTTATTATCTCAGGCATGAGTTTTGTTTTCCAGACAAACTCCATTATGAAGCCATAACTTCTCCTCTTTTTTATTAAGTACAGACGTCTGTACCTGCCAGTTGGATCTCTAGATCAGCATGACACCCAGACTACATTGGGTGTCTGTAATGAACTTGACAGAATTTCAATCAAAAGCTAAAGACACCAGACATTCTAATGTACCAGGGGGGGCCTTATCACAGGAGGTGGTGTGATTATCCTTTGGCTTTTGGAGATGAAGATAAGCGCTCTGAGACCTTTAGCAGGGCTGTCCTTCCTGCAGAGGGTGAGGGGTGGTGTGACTGTTTTGCAGGCCAGTGAGGCCCAGCAGGCATAGCAGGCTTAGTCTGTTCAGCTTCTTCCTCTCCTTTGGGCTCTGTGGTGCTGGAATCCCACAATTAGATGGAGCCAGTTCTCAAAGGACAACCCTCATCCAGAGCTAGAATCCCCTCCAGGGTCCTCATGGGAGTCCAGTCTCTTCTTTTAATTCTCCGGTAACAAAAAACTCAGGGCTTTTCCAGGTAGCCCATTTCCTCCTGTACTGGTAGAAACTTCCTGATGTGGATCCTAAAATTTGCCACTTTGGAAACACCAGCCACTGGCTCCAGTTTTCTCTTTCGGGCCACCTGGGACATTCGTTTCCCCTTCTGCATGCCAATCCTCTAGACAGTGAAGCCTGCCACCACATTACCCCAAGACCCCTAGGCCAAGGAATCCCCAAGGTCTTCAGCTGCTCCTCACTGGGCATCACTCCCCTTGCCATGCCCTTTAGTTCATCAGTCCCCAAAGTGAAGCCTAAGACCCCCTGTTGTTCTGGCTCCATCCTGCAGAGCAGAAGCAGAACTGCAGTCATTAGAGGAAACTCCTATTGTCTCTCTTTCTGCTGAGCCAAGTGTCCACTGAAAACTATATTTTTTCCTTTTACATGGTGCTGGGGATCACACCCAGAGCTTTGCACATGCCTGGTAAGTACATTACCACTGAGCTACAGCACCGCCCCAAACCTGTCTTTATAATGATGCCAATCACAGTCCCTATCTTTGTGGTCAGGGCAGTGGAGGGCTCCAAGACCTGGGCTGTCCTTGTGGGTCTGGCCTTGGGGCCTGGTCCTTACACTTTGTTCTTGCACCATGCACCTCCAACCCTGCCTACAAACTTTGCCAACAGCCTTGGACCCCAAGGGCAGTGGGAACATGAAAAGGACAGGACAGCTCCTGGCAACCATTGCATCTCCACTGACAGCTGGAGCTGGGCTGGCGAGTCTTGAGGGCCTGTGACAAGCAGCACACTGTCCACCTGCTCGGGGCAAGGTGGGACGCCTAAGAAGCTGTGCCTAGGCGCTCCTGGGTGGGCCCACAGCTTGCCCTGCTTCTTAACAGGTGAAGTCAGGGAGCCCGGGGCTCCATTAATCAAGTGAAGCAGACCTGGTGGCAGGCTTGGCCGCATCAGCCTCGGCCAGATGCCTCCCGTTCCTCAGCAGAGCAGCACTCCAGACTGCACTCCCATCTTGCTCTGGCAATGAGGATCAAGGCCTCTGGCAGCCCTGTAATCAGCTTGGTAGCAGCCGGAGCACGTCCGGCCAAGTCTGTGGCTTTCTCTTTTTATCCTGTGAGTTCACAGAAAATAAATGAAACCCTGGTTTCCAAGAAGGTGAGGGAACAGTAAATCAGTCTGTTAACCGCTGTCTGCCCACCCTACCCCCTTACCTTCCAGAGACCACCGAGTTGGGAGCCAACAAATGTGTCAAGAATTAAGGTCCCAGGCATCAGGGGCTTGGCACCACTGTGGAGGCAGCACTGCGCATACCTGAGGCCTGGTCCATCTGGGATCCCACAGGGAGTAGGGGGCAATGAGTAGAAGCATCCAGTGTCTTGTGTCACCTCCCCCAGCTGCCCCACCTTCCTCTCCTCCTAACCTAAGCAGCACAGATTTTGTGTAATGACAGGGAAAAGGGAACATTCAGTGCCAGGCTTTTAATTACAATTGCTTTGGGCTGCTGGCCTCCAAGCCGAACGGCCACACATAGATGTTTTATCACACCACAAAGCCAACAGGTCCAGCTATGGTGTGTGCACTGGGCACCTGGTGACATGGGGCTGTGCTCATAACCCACCGGGGAAGGGCTGGGCCCAGATTGGTTCACACAGGCACAGAGCAGCTGGCCAAGTACAGCCCTGGGCATTAGGGAGCCCCTGGAGCAGATGGAAACACCTGTGGAGACCTTTACAGCAGACTCCAGGGAAGGCTTATAATTGGGCAGGAGAAAGTTCTTTGGGAGGAAGGCCAAGCTCTGGAAAGATGATGGGGGTGGATAATACTGCGGGGTTCGGCCAAGTGAGAGAAGTACAACAGTAACCAAGTCCACAGCACTTCACAGTTGACAAAGAGCTCTCCACTCTCTAGAGCATGCTTAAGCCTCACATCAACCCTGCCTAGGGATCACAAGCTCAGAGAGAGGAAACCACTTGCCCAGAGTCACACGGGCAGAAAACCAGGACTGCACCCCGAGCCTGTCACTGCATCCAACGGTCTCTCCATGAGGCACAGGGATTAATCCCAGGAACCAGAGGAACAACCCAGGCAGGGCCCCCTGAGCCTCCCAGAGCCTCCAGGGTAGCCCTCCCTCAGGGCAGCACTGTGGTGACGCTGGTGAGCACCACATGCTCAGAGACTTTGGAGACAGAGCACCGGCTCTGCAAGGACAAAGACTTGTGGCTGGCAGAAGAGCGGGGACTGGGGGCGTTCAGAGAGCTGCAGGGACCCAGGCCAGGCAGGCAGCAGGAGAAGGCAGCCTTAAACTGCTCCCGGAATTTACCTTGGTTAGGAGACAAAAGACACAGCGGTAAGGAGACAAACGCAGCAGGAAGGGACCTTGAGCCCAAGGGACACCCACACAGCTCCAGCCAAGCTGCCTGAGAGGAGGCTGGGAGGGAGGGTAGAGTTGGAATGGAGAGCCCCGGCAACCTCGGCACTGCAGGAGGAGCGAGGTCAGAAGCCCATGCGGCTTCCCAAAGAAAAATGCAATTATCATCTGATTCCTTGACAGCACTCTGGCTCAGAGCCTGGCTCAAGGCACGGTGTCTGGCTCAGGGGCCTTGGGTCACCTCGGCCCCACTCTGTGTGCACACGGAGAGGCTTGGGGCTTACTCTGTGGCCAGGCTTTCCCCAGATCTCCTGTAAGATGATGAGATGGCAGCAGAAGCCCTTGCATGTGGCAGTCCCACTGTGCCAGGCAAACAGCTTCCCCAGCGTCCATCCCCCCAGAGCATCCCAGCATCCTGAGAGGTCATAGTGCTTTATCCTCACCTCACAGAGGAGATGCTCAAAGGCACAGGCTCACCCAAGGCCACCAGTGAGAGAGAAGAGTGATCACCACACCGGCTCAGCCCACTCTACCAGGAGAATGTGGAACCAAGCCCTCCTTGACCGTGTGTCACCAGCCTGCCAGCCTCACTGGTGCCCAACATAGGGCCAAGCACACAGTAGGTGCTCAGTAAATGTAGTCCAAGCAAAGGGGTGTGATTCAGGAAGTCTGCCTGCCCTTTCCTCCCCACAATGCTCCTCTCTTGTGTTCTCTCCCCTGAGCTAGAACCAGCCAGGCAGCCTTTGGGAGTAATTTTTGGGTGGCATTGAGGATTACATAATGACCTCCGATAGCTTCTTGAACATCTTAACTGTTTGTGAAAAATTATTTGTGTCCAGGCTTGAATGGCCATCTAGACCAGCTCCTTAGAAGCCTAATGCCAAATATGAGGTCTAGCGAGTCACTTCTGCTGTGCCAAGCCTGAGGGGTCAGGCCACTACCACCATCCCGGAGGCCTGAAGGCAGAGTGGAGGTGGAGGCTACAAGACAACAGACACGAAGCCCATGGTGGGAGTGAGGGCCTGCAGGCCTGGACTTCCGGAGGGGGAAGAGAGAGGGCAGTGCTAGAGGCCGTGGATCCAGGGGAAGCCCCTAGATTCCTGGGGTGTCTGCTGGACGGCCGCCAGAGCCCTTTCGTGGGACTGAGCTGCCTCTGCTGGCGGCTCTCCCTTACCCTGGGCCCTGGATGATACACCATCCCCTCAGCCGGGCTCCTCGGCTTTCTTCCCACAGGCCTGGCTCCCTCTAGGGAAAATAGACTATTCTACCTGATTGTCCAGAGAGGGGCATGCCCCCAGGCTGGGAAGGGAAGTGGAGGCCACTGGCCCAGCCCTTGCCCTTCCATGGTCTGTAGGATCTGCCAGACTCCATCCTGGGTGCTGGCCACTGCTGGAGCCCAGGCTTCTGGGTGTGGCCAAGTCTTTCCTGAGTGGGGGAACCCAGAGCAGAGGCGTGATGCTCAGGAGAGAGCAGGTATATCCTTGCCACCATCCTTTCCTTGGGCCCTGGATTGACAGTGGGGGCACTCGTCCCAGGGACTGCTGGCCACCCTCATTCACTCTGCCCAGCCCACTCACCGCTGAGGAAGTTGTAGATGATGGGGTTGGCGGCGCTGTTGGCATACACCAACCAGTGGGAGAAGGTGAAGCAGGCGTACACAGCTTCGCGGTCGCTGGCTTGGCGGAACATCCCGAACACCCTAGTGCCAGGTGGAGGAGTCAGAAAGGGGCAGGTGTTGGGGCGGTGCTCACGGAACTCCAGCTGGGAAGGGCAAGTTTCCCCCTCCCACTTCTGTCCACTCAGTGCCCTCTCCTGGGCTTCCAAGTCTGAGGTCTTGCCTATAGTTTTGGGTTCTCAAGCACAGAAAGTATGACCACAGAGGGCCTAGGGACAGAGACCAGGTATATGTGCCCAGTCTCCAGCTACCTAATCCCCTGGAGTCCCCATCCACCTTCTCATCCAACCTCACAGCGACATGAGGAGCCACGGTCAGCATCTGTTCTTCAGCTCAGGAAACTGAGGCTCAGAGAGTTGAAGTCCCAAGATCACACACCCAGGACACAGCCAAGCACAAACCCAAACAGGCTGTCTCCTGCCCAATAGCCCATGTACTTCCCCAGCATCCTGTGGCCCCTCATCTGCTGTGTCCCTGTGTACCTCTGCTTCGACTGCTGTCCCTCCAACCCTGCAGGCTGACTCCCTCACTTCCTCCAAGTCTCTGCTCAAGGGTCACTTCCTTTTGTTTTTAGAAATTAAATCTAAAACAAGCCGGGCACCGTGGCACACGACAGCCACTCAGGGGGCTGAGGCGAGAGGATCATGAGTTCAAAGCCAGCCTCAGCAACTTAGCAAGACCCTGTCTCTAAATGAAATATTTTTTAAAAGGGCTGGGGAGGGGCTGGGCTTGTGGCTCAGCTGTAGAGCCTTCACCTCGCGCATGCGGGGCACTGGGTTCGATTCTCAGCACCAAGTAAAAATAAAATATATTGTGTCCAACAACAACTAAAACAAAATATTTTTTTTTTAAAAAAGAGCTGGGGATGTGGTTCTGTGCTTAAGTCCCCCTGGGTTCAATCGCCAGTACACCCCCCCAAAAAGTCTAAAACAGAAAAATCACTTTCCCTATTTTATTTTTCTTTATAGCAACGATCACTGCCTGATAACACACATGGGTTTTTCTATTTTCCTCCTCTCCCACTAGTGTGTAGTCCCCACGAAGAGAAGGACTTTGTCTTGTTCACCCTGGAACGTGATGCTTGAGGAGTGAAGGGTTTTCACGACAGCCCAGAGCCATTACTATTGCTATACCATTTAATGAGCGAGAACATGGAGGTGTGGGGACTCAGAGAAGGACCTGTCCTGATGTGGGGGGCCAGTAGAGCTCCTCCCACACCCTCCCACCTTTTGCTGCGATCTCACCTTTTGAGGACATTGAGGACACTGATGGGCAGGTAGCAGAGGGCAAAGACCAACAGCACCACCATCAGCATCTTGGCTGTCTTCCTCCGGGCCCGCATCTGCTTCACCTCCGCCAGAAAGGCGCGGGCCCGGGGCTGGGGCTGTGCACTGGGGCCCTGCCCCTGGTCCTCCAACTGGTCTGAGGGTCTCTTCCAGTTCCGTACCAGTGCCAAGGTAGTGCCTGGGATCTGTCCAGCACACACAGAGAGCAGTGGTGGGCATAGCTCTTTGGCAGGACTTATCTCTTTGGGTGGATCCACTCCTGGCTAGACCCTGGGGCAGAGTGGAGGTGGCAAGGAACGAGCTCTTGCAAAAAGAGGGAACCCAATATTCACAATAAAGATGAACACTCTGGACTTGGTGATTAATATACTCTCATTTTGCATTATCTCACTGCAAAACGACCCACGGCATGCTTTTGAAAAGGCATTATTGACTTTTAGCTGTAGATGAGACAATTGAGACTCAGAGAGAGGCGGAGCCCCAGGCCACAACCTCAGGTCTGAACATCTCCTGGCTGCCCATCCATCCTTCTTCAAGATCCAGCTGCATCTGTGGGGACAGGGTGTGGGTGGGGTGAGCTGGGCCTCTCCCTCGCCCATGTCAGACCGTGGGGAGGCCTAGGTGAGGGGTGAGCAGGAGGGTAGCAGTGAATGATCTGGGCCTCAGAGCATGGGTCCCCCTCTGGGTTGATGCCCATAATCCTGGGGTGGTTCTGGGCTCCTGGAGCAGCCAGAGACATCCTTGAAGACCCTCCTGCCTCTAGACACCTGGATCACCCCCCATCAGAGGGGGATGGGGCTAGAGTGCAGGAAACTTGGCATCCAGAGCTAGTCAAACATTCATGAGCTGTGAAACAATCTCATCTAACTTTCTAAGCCTTGGTTTCTTGTCGGTTAGATGAGGTCAGTGCCTCTGTCCTGCTGGACAGGGGGTCTGGAGGGGCAGATGGCAGGCGTTGGGAGCCTGCTAGGGAGGCCAGTATGGAAAGGCCCCACCTGACTGGGCATCTTTCCAAAGCAGGGCTCGGGTCTAACCAGTCAATCTCACTACCCACCCTGCAAGGTCTGGGTGCTGTCAACACTGTGTGCAATGTAAGTGGCATTCCAGAACCGAGTGTCTGTGGCCGAGCCTGGTCACTCTCTGGCCTGCATCCTCTCACTGCCCCAGCACTGACCAGGGAGTTAATTCCACTAGTGCTTAGGGCCTCTGAGCACCCCTCTCCTCATGACCCTCCAGCATGAAACCCAATGCAGAGCCATTTGTAATAGAGGAAAGAAGCCAGGCCCTGGGACCGGCCCTGCCCCTCATTGGCCTTGGCAGGAGACTGCCCTTGCTCAGCACTGTGACGCAGGCAACAGCATGTCTTTTTTAGGTAGTGGTAAAGACACTGGATTCAAAGCTTCACCAGGCAGAAACTCAGAGCTGCTGTTAATGTTTCAGAGATAAAATGAGTATTAGAAACTCACAGATCCAGGTTTCAATCCCTGATTTTCTACTCTCTAGCTGAGGGCTTTGGGGGACATGATATTCTTTCTCTGTTTTCTTACATATTTCATGGAGGATAAGATACGGAGGTTAAGAGGTTGCAGGATTCCCTGGGGGGGATGGAACGTAAATGGCAGCTACTGGGAATGGAGTTACCCAGAGTTAGGCTCTAGCACTCTGGGTTTCAAGTTCCCCAATGTTCCCACGTCCCTGGGCCTTGCCTCTTTCCAGTTGCAGTCAGGATAGCATGTTCTGAAGGCAGAGGGTGTCTACTCCCTGAGACCAGCAGCCCCCCACCCCTCTCAGTATAGACAGTGCCCAAAAGAACTGGCCTCACCTGGCGGCCCCAGAGCTTGCGGAAGATCTGGAAATAGGCCATGGCCATGAGGCCCAGTGGGGCCAGGTAGGTGACAATGAAGAAGCAACTGTGGTAGATCTTGGGGTAGAGGTCATCTGTAGGGGCCGAGAGATGTAAGGGTCAAGCTCAGCATGGGGGCCCCAGCTTACCTGGTTGGCAATGCCACCCTTCCTGAGTAGGGCAAGGCCTGAGTGCAGCTGAACCTCCCCCATGCTGGCACCATGGCAGGGAGATCGCCTGGAGTCACCCAACCTGCAGTGTCTATCCTGGAGGGACCCCTAGGGATGGACAGATGTCTGCCCTATGGGTATGTGTCCTGGAGGTGCCCACTATTACCTGCCCAGCGTTCGTCACAGACAGAGAAGAGCCGGGTTCGGTTGGCTAGTTCAGGCAACACACTGCTGCATTCCATGACAGCAGCCTGGGGAACCATGACAGCCAGCGACACGGCCCAGATGCCCAGGATGGAGCCACGGGCACGCCTGGCGGTGCTTTTGAACAACAGTGGGTGGCAGATGGCATACCAGCGGTCCAGGGCAATGAAGCTGAGAGTCAGTACTGCCACTGACACTGACACGGCCTGCCCCACAGGGACACAGCATCAGAGATAGGAGGGGGAACAGCCCAGAGATAACAGACATCCCAGTGTGGTGCAAATCCTGACTCCATTTAATGGCTGTGTGAATTTGTACAACTACTCACCCTCTCTGAGCCTCATACACAGAATGGGAATACACCATGTACCTGGCAGGATACTGGTGAGAATAAATGAAACTGTGAATGGGAATGCTCAGCTGGAGACCTGGCATATAGTAGGTGTTCTCCTACTGTGAATAATTACCTCCATTTATGGAACTTACTACGTGGCAGGCACCATTCTCATGAGGTGGGTACTGTGTTACAAATGAAGAAACTGAGTACAAAATTCCCTCATCTGTCTTTATGCTTAAAGTCTCCAGAGTTAATCAATTGAGTGGAAAATCTTGAAACAGCGCAAAATCCAAGAAGCATTTCTCTCACCCTGGAATGCCACCCCTTCTCTAAACTGTTAGGAGAAGGAGGCAAAGATGGGTCCGGACCAGTATCATGGGTAAGCATGGCCTCCAGGGCTGCCCCCTGCCTTCAGTGGCGCAGGGAGAGGGTCAAGAGATAAAACAGAGAGGCCACGGCTAGCCTCTGGCTGGCACTCCTTCTCCACAAACCTCATCAGGTGCCCTGGTTCCTGCCACAGGGAAGGCAGTAGATAGTCCCCTCAACTCTGCCCCCTTGGGATCAGGGTGCAAGCCCAGCAAGTATTGGTGTTTGTGTCACAGTGAGCTGATGCCTCTCTTCTCTGCTGTGTGCCTGGAGGTCACCATGGATGCGTATGTGGTGTGGCAGTGTTTGGGACCAGGAGTTCTGTGTAGGAGCATGTGGAACTGTGGGTATGTCCTCAAGTGCTCACCCCGGTAACCTGTCCTTCATGGCAGTAGGGGATGACAGTGCATTGGTCTTGAGCCACTGTGTCCTGCCTGAAAGGCCAGCCTGAGTCACTGAGGCCTCTGGAAGATGGTGGTTTTCGTGCAGGTGTGACAGAGGCTGGTGAGGGGTTCCTGGAGAGCTCACCTGTAGATAGGGGATGACCTTGCAGAGGGCGTGGCCAAAGAGCCAGGACTCGGTGATGTCCACTAGCAGACTAGCGGGCAGGCAGATGGCCGTCACCAGCACGTCAGCCAGCGACAGGTTGACAATGAAGTAGTTGGTGACTGTCCTCATGTGGTGATTCCGCCACACGGCCAGGCAGACTGCAGCCCGCAGCCAGGGGGCCAGGGCAGTGAGGCCTGAGTCAGAGCCACGCCCACCCCGCCCCGCCCCGCCCCGCCAGTGAGCCCCTGTCCCCGCGAGTAGGAGAGGGTCAGACGGGACTCACCCCCAATCCCCAGAGGAAGCGTTAGAGGAGAGGGCAGGACCGAGACCTACCCAGAGTGTTGCCCACCAGGGCCACGAGGAACACGGCCACGTAGGCGGCGATGAGGACCCACTCGTACTGCTTCGGGTACAGATAGTCGCGCCACAGATAGCGGAGAAACTCGTCTTCGTAGTCTGGAGGCACGCGGGACGGTTCCCCGCTACCAGTTGGGACCTCCGTCTGGGCCCCTGGGGCTGCCGAAGGCTCCATGAGCTCAGGAGCCGCTGCAGCCGAGGGGCACCCTGGGCTCTGCGAGGGGAGGGGAGCCCGGCCAGCCCTCAGCCCACTCCCCTCAGGGGGCCCGCTTCTTGCACCCAGGTCTTTGGGGTCCCAGCCCAAACTTCCTGAAGGAAGGAAGGAAGGAAGGAAGGAGACATTAGGGAGTGTGCCTGGCACTTTGCATATGCGCTCCCTCTTAATTGTCAGCTATCAAATCCGTGGAGGAAGGCAGCTCTGGGTTGATCCCAACTGCACAGTTGCTTGTGGGTAACTTACCTCGCCTCTTTCAGCCTCGATTTCCCCATTCAATGGAGTCCAACGGAGTAATAACGGTACCTACCTCCCAGGTCGGCGGCGAGGAGTAAGGAATAAGTTCTAATGCGCGCTAAGTGCTTTGCCCAAAGCCTGGCACTGGAAGCTAGCCTCACGGACGTTGCCGAATACCATGATTAGGGAGCCTTGCTTTGTGAATGAGCAGATGGCAGCTCAGAGAGGTTGAGCCCCTTGCTCAAGGTCACAAAGCTACAAAGCCAGGTCTGTCTGGATTCGCGGAACACCACAGGGGTGGGAAGGGAAGACGTACGGATTACAAATATTCTCTCTTAAGTTAGCTCAAGGGCCTTAATTTTTTATTAGAAAAAGAATTGAGGCAGGTATTAGAGATCCAGGCTCCTCCCACCAGACCCGCCTGACTCCCCC